GCCGCACCGTTCAGGGAGCATTGCCTCCTGACTTCATATCGTGTGTTTCATCGTTGGTAAGGTGCTTATCTCCTCGGGCCGTGAGGTAGGAGGCGGGCCGGACCAGGTCGCGGAGGAGAGGCAGTATAGGAGCTCCACACTGAAGCGTCCACCGCTTCCTAAGATCAAGGCGAGATTAGAGAGCTTTGATGGTGCTTCTGGCATAGTCTCCCATAGATCGTCTTCTTTCCCTTCAAGCGTCCGTTCCTTCCCTCATGGAAACTAACCCCTCAGGACCCGTTGCCTTTCCACGGACCATTCCTCCCTCCTCACGAGTTGTGAGTGGAGCTGGTTGATGGGAAAGATTAGTTTCAAGTTACTGGAGAACATTTGCATCTTGGTCCACCGTCGTGAGGATGTAGAGAGGCGTCTTATCTTCTGCCGAAGGAAAATGTGTAGTTTGTGGTGATAGTGATAGGAAGGTGACGTGAAGAATTGTGTTTGAAGGTGAAATGATGGTGGAAGATGAGGGGGGGGGGGAGGGGGATGGGGTGGATTTTACGAGGTGAGGGAGATGGTGGCGGCGGCGACGACGAGGGAGAGGCAGTGTTGGAGGGCTGTGATGGAGCATGTGTGAACAGAAGAGGCACACGATGCGCAACTGTTCTGGTACTTCCCCTTTATGGAGGACTTGTGCTGTTGGTACTCTGCACCCACCCAGCCACTCTCCTCACCTGGCTGTGGCTGTCGTGTCCTCACGTGGCTGTGGCTGTCGTGTCCTCACCTGGCTGTGGCTGTCGTGTCCTCACCTGGCTGTGGCTGTCGTGTCCTCACCTGTGGCTGTCGTGTACTCACCTGGCTGTGGCTGTCGTGTCCTCACGTGGCTGTGGCTGTCGTGTACTCACCTGGCTGTGGCTGTCGTGTCCTCACGTGGCTGTGGCTGTCGTGTCCTCACCTGGCTGTGGCTGTCGTGTCCTCACCTGGCTGTGGCTGTCGTGTCCTCACCTGTGGCTGTCGTGTACTCACCTGGCTGTGGCTGTCGTGTCCTCACCTGGCTGTGGCTGTCGTGTCCTCACGTGGCTGTGGCTGTCGTGTACTCACCTGGCTGTGGCTGTCGTGTCCTCACCTGGCTGTGGCTGTCGTGTCCTCACCTGGCTGTGGCTGTCGTGTCCTCACCTGGCTGTGGCTGACCATAGAGGCGTCACCGTAGAGGCATCACCGTAGAGGCGTCACCGTAGAGGCATCACCGTAGAGGCATCATCATAGAGGCGTCACCGTAGAGGCACCGTGACCATCACCGTAGAGGCGTCACCGTAACCATCACTGTAGAGGCGTCACCGTAGAGGCGTCACCGTAGAGACGTCACCGTAGAGACGTCACCGTAGAGGCATCACCGTAGAGGCATCATCATAGAGGCGTCACCGTAGAGGCACCGTGACCATCACCGTAGAGGCATCACCGTAGAGGCGTCACCGTAACCATCACTGTAGAGGCGTCACCGTTGAAGCATCACCGTAGAGGCGTCACCGTTGAAGCATCACCGTAGTGGCGTCCCCGTAGAGGCGTCACCGTAGAGGCGTTACCGTAGAGGCATCACCGTAGTGGCGTCACCGTAGAGGCGTCACCGTAGAGGCGTCACCGTAGTGGCGTCACCGTAGAGGCGTCACCGTAGTGGCGTCACCGTAGAGGCATCACCGTAGAGGCATCACCGTGGAGGCATCACCGTAGAGCCATCACCGTAAAGCCATCACCGTAGAGGTGTCACCGTAGAGGCGTCACCGTAGTGGCGTCACCGTAGAGGCGTCACCGAAGAGGCGTCACCGTAGAGGCGTCACCGTAGAGGCGTCACCGTAGAGGCGTCACCGTAGAGGCGTCATCGTAGAGGCATCACCGTAGAGGCGTCACCGTAGAGGCGTCACCGTAGAGGCATCACCGTAAAGGCGTCACCGTAGAGGCGTCACCATGGAGGCATCCCCGTAGAGGCATCACCGTAGAGGCGTCATCGTAGAGGCCCTCACCATAGATGCGTCACCATAGAGGCGTCACCGTAGAGGCGTCACCTTAGAGGCGTCACCGTAGAGGCCCTCACCATAGAGGCGTCACCGTAGTGGCGTCACCGTAGAGGCATCACCGTAGAGGCATCACCGTGGAGGCATCACCGTAGAGCCATCACCGTAGAGGTATCACCGTAGAGGCATCACCGTAGAGGCGTCACCATAGAGGCGTCACCGTAGAGGCGTCACCGTTGAAGCATCACCGTAGTGGCGTCACCGTAGAGGCATCACCGTAGTGGCGTCACCGTAGAGGCATCACCGTAGAAGCGTCACCGTAGAGGCGTCACCGTAGAGGCGTCACCGTAGAGGCGTCACCGTAGACATCACCGTAGAAGCGTCACCGTAGAGGCGTCACCGTAGAGGCGTCACCGTAGAGGCACGGTCTCTGGCTTGCTCATAAAAGTCTCATTACCGACTATAGGCCAAAAGAGAGCTATCCCACGAGCCTCCCACACAACATGTCCTTT